GGGCTTGACCTGTCCGGTGGGGGAGGGGGATTAATCCCGCCGCCACTGTGCTCCCCTGTGGGACACCATAATCTATAGGCATGGGTTTCGAGGCTGAGTTATTGACATAGACTACTTGAGACCGATTTGAAAGATATGATTAAACCACCCCACTGATGACTTGACACCGAGAGCACTCAGTTTGTTACAAAGGATACCATGGATAACGCTGTCAAAAGCCTTTTGAATATCAAGCAAAATCATGCCCACGTGAAGACCCGAAGACAACTGAATTCGTATATAATCTTGTAAATAAATCAAACAAGAATCAGTCGAATAACTCCCCCTAAATCCAGATTGGAATTTATAGATTATGTTGTGCGCAGAGAGATAACTACTTAGTTGAACTAATACAGCCTTTTCGAGGATCTTAGACGCTACACTTAAAATACTAATTGGTCTATAATTACCAAAATCAAGCTTACTGCCTTTTTTGTGAAGTGGTTTAAGTTTTGCAGACTTCATATCAACAGGCACAGTTTCACTGTGATAGAGAGGTTAATTATATGGGTGAGTGGCTCACAAATCACACAAGCAGCATCCTTCAAGAAGCGAGAAGGAATTCCACCTAGACCAGTGCTTTTGGTTGAATCGAGACCACAAAGCTCTGAATAGACGAAATCGGCACTGACTTCTTGAAGTGAGAATGAATCTTTGACAACAAAGTAATAGAATGCAATGAATGAAGGTATTTGATATTGTACAGTAGATATATGAAGGAGATGGTATTAACATATTGATAAGTTTGGCAGCAATAGTACTAAAGACATTGTTATATTTCGGCCACTTAATAACCTTCATGAACCTTTTTACTATCCTTATTAATAACAAACTGTGATTGATCTTTAGCCTTAGCTGAGTAACCAAGGTCTTTTAAAGTTTTCCATATCTTCTTCGGATTGTTTCTGTTTTCGTCTATTTTACTTACAAAAAAACTGACGTTTAGCTTTGTTGATGTTTTTCTGAACCCTGTTTCTTAGCTTACGAAACCTAGAGTAAAGGTCAGGAGCATGGCCACTCTTCCTCAACACCTCCTCAGCAACGCATCTCTTTCATGTATGGCATTCAGGATTTCTCCTGTGATCTATGGTTCAGTGCGCTGTCTGATCCTAATGGTTTTGACAGGAGCCAACATGTCGAGAGCCCTGATAAAGAGTTTGGAGAAGAGCCGCCATGCACTATTAACATCGGTCGAAGAAAGAACAGAAGACCAGTCAGTATTTCTTAATTCATTTAAAAATGTATCTTTATTATAGTTTTTAGTAGATCGAATTGTTATTCCCTTATGGCATCATTACACTATGCTATTTTCCTAGTACAGAAAATCATGAAATGGTCAGTAAGTCCCTGTCTCTTATACACATCTAGATGTGTATAAGAGACAGATTATATATTCAGAATAATAATTAGCTACATTTAGTCCAGATTTCAGAGTTACTATAGTTGGTCAAACTTATTGTCAAACAAATCAATCTATC